AGGGGGCGGGGCTGGCTGGCATGTGGTGCTGGGGGATTGAACCACGGTCTCTGTGCTTTGCTAAGCTTGTATCTAAGTAGGTGCTTTAGACCACTGAGCCATCTCACCAGCCCAGATACAATGAATATTTTAAGTGGGTACCATTTGTTGTTTTTTTTTCCTTCAATCAGATTTTATTGGTATGTGTTTTGGTTTTTGGCAGAACCGGGGATTGAACTCAGACCCTTGTACTTGCCAGGGAAGCACTTATTCTACTGAGCCATCTCCCCAGCCCCTATTTTTAGTTTTTTGAGACATGGTCTTGCTGTATAGTTCAGGCTGCCCCTGAACTCACTATGGAGCCTGTGCTGGCTTCAAACTGTGGCAATCCTCCTGTATCAGCCTCCTGAGTGCTGGGATTACAGGCGTGTACCACCAGGCCTGGCTAAAATGACTAAACAAAAAATTTAGATATACTTGTATCAGAGAGAAGGATATATGTGTGTGCAGATGTTCAAAGAGGCAGGGAAAGAAGAAGTGTCAGTATGAAAATTACTAAACGCTCAATAACCACAAGAAATAACTAGCATGCTTGGAATCCCAGCATTCTGGGAGGCTGAAGCAAGAAGCAGGTTAAACCTCAGCTCTTAGTGAGACTTAGTGAGACTTAGGGCAACTTAGTGAGACTCTGTATCAAAAGAAAAAAGAAAAAGAAAAAATTGAGATGCAATTCAATGCAAAAGTCCTGTGTTCAATCATGAACAGTAGGATAAGCAATTATACATGAGGGTGAAGGATAAGCAAGGGCTGCTGCTTTCCAAATGAACTTTTTAGTGAGTGACCTGTGAACACACACTACTTTTTGGTGAACACACATTACTTTGATTTTAACAAATATGTTTTAAATAGCTAACAAATGTTTTAAATATTTATATACAAGAATGTTTCTATGAAAACGTTAAACAGAGTATTATCTATGTCAAATATCAAATGACTACTATCTAGACAAAGTGCACTATGTAGCAAAATGAAAACTCCTTGGCAGGTTTAACTTAATTAGAAGAACGGAGCCAGGAAGACAAGGCAGGTGAGGCTGGAAAGGAAGGCCGGCCAGGTATTATCATCAACATCACTGTCATTTTCCACTTAGTTTCTACTTACTTCAAACTCTGAAGTGAAGCTACTGAACCAGGGACCACGCTTTGAAAAGTATTACAGCAGTAAAAAGTAGTGTGTAAAGTTGGGCTGTCTGTCCATCTTAAAGTTGAGCTCAAAAACTTTACAGTGGCTTGCCCAAGGTTGCACAAGCTCCACAAGTTAGCAGAGCTGTTTTGTATCCATCTGACACTTGCACGTGCTGCCTACATCTGCCCTGTCTATATAAGCTCTGAAGTCTTTCATTTCTTCCTTAAGGCCAGTTTGCCTTTTATACCTCTGTCATTGGGGAAGAAAAGTACCGCAATCACAGTGTTTTAAACTGCAATTCTCTGTTGGTTTTTGCTATGTCACAGATCTGCTCTAACATCCTTCTTTGGAAACCTTCTCTAGGTCTACAGCCATATTGGGGTTGAGAGGAGCCCTAGTCAGAGCTGCCTTATTCCTCCTCTGACATGTCAGTTCAAAGGTCAAATGTTTAACCATGACTTTAAATTGTCCTGTGGTGTCTGACTCTCTTGCCAGAAAGATTTACTAGTAAAATTCAAGGCAATTCTCCTATTGTGGAAAAGGCCAGGGAAGATTTTACCTGTTGAGAGTAGGCCAGGCCATCCTCTTAGACACCCCTGCAATTACCATAAATATCTATAAAGACTCCAAATATGCTTTCTGGTGCATGCAGCAATCTAGAAAAAAGGAACTTGCTAACTAGTAAGTAAGCCTTAAATTCTCTCTCTTACAGGCACTCTATCTTCCCAAGCAGATTGCTATCATTCATTTCAAAGGACCCAAAAGAGGTATGTCTGAAGCCTCCTTGGGAAATCAAAAGGCTGGTAGACAAGCAAGAAGGGTAATACTGCAGTCAGTCTCTCAAGACTCTAGCCTTATTCTCAGTTCCTGGGAACCATTAAAGTGGTCCTTCCTCAAGGGATGCAGTGGAAAGCTCTGAAAATCCTGTACGGGAAATGGTCAGTAGAATTTTCACAGGATTGGGATAAAAGCTGCACTACTTCTGTGAACCCTTGGAAGACCTGTGGCTCCTCAAAAAGCAAGGCTCCAGTACTGCTCTGAGTGCAGATAAGTAGTGTCTAATGGCCCTAGTTCACCTAGTTCAATTGAAACAGGTAACTTGCACTGAAACTCCTGTTTTCTTTTTTGAGACAGGGTCTCACTATGTAGTTCAGGCCTGCCTCAAACTCAGCAGTCCTCCTCCTGCCTCACCCTCTTGAATGCTAGCATTACAGGCCTGTGTCACCATGCCCAGCTGAGGCTTTTTTAAAATTAGATCCATAATGTGGGCAATCTTACTAAGGGTATGGCTCTCGGGCTCCTGATAACTGATCTCTTATCCGTCTCTGCCACAGGAAGTAAGGAAATCTGACCTGCTTCTCACACTTGGGGCTCTATATTCCCAACCTAATAGTAAAGTTAACCAAGCTTTCTCTTAGCAAACAGGGAGCTCAGTGTCATTCTTTTGTCAGTGTTTTTCTTCAACCCAGTCAGTGAGCTACAACACTCCAAGGTAGTTGTAGAACACAATTCCCAGTAGGTAGGGCCTACACTCCCTTTCAACAGAAAACAGCTATATAAAGGTGGAGAATCTGGGTGTGGTGGTGCAGGCCTGTAGTCTCAGCACTTGGTAGGCTGAGGCACAAGGATCATGGTGAGTACCAGGCCAGCATGACTATATATTCAGACTTTGTGTAAAAAAAAAAAAAAAAAAAGATGGAGATGGAGACCTTCATTTCCTCAGCACCTCATAAAGAATTATGGGGATAGGGGTCTCATAGGGAGAAATGAGGCAGATTAGGGCATAGCAGGCTGGCTGAGGAAGTATTACCTGTTCCTAAAAGAAGTGTTACCTGTTAATTACACAGTCCCTGGCCACTGGTGCAGAACAGTTCCTAAAGCCCTGCACCTGGACCTCTCGGGTCAGTCTGCATAGGTCAGTCCAGACCTGACGCCAACCAAAGGCCCGGGTGGTACATAAATGATTTGTGCTCTCCAACACTCTTCTCATCTTGTAGAGTGTAGTTTTCAAACTCACTGTGCAGAGGCTGTTTCTTATTCTACTTTTAATAAATGTAGAGTCCTGTGAAGGTTTTAATGTATGGCACCAGACACAGTATGTTTTGCCATTGTCAGCAAAGAGGCTCCCTTGGTGGCAATGGACTGCGAATCATCGTACACACACAACCCCGACCTCGCGGCTTACACACACACACACACACACACACACACACACTCCCGCCCCCGGCCACCCCCACCCCCAGCAGCAGGACGGACGCGAGGGTGAGGCCAGCACCAGCCCAGTCGTCGGGCGAGAGCCGAGAGGCCAACCACAGGCCAGCCGCAAGCGGCGCCAACCAGGCCAACCAGGGGTTCTCGCTCCCGCTCCCCGCAGGCCCCAGACCCTCTCTGCGCAGGCGTGTTGCGGAGGAGGGCGGCGAGATGCAAGAACACAAACATTCCCAGGATCGATTCCGCTTCCCTTTGTCTTCCCGAGCCCGAGTTCAGCGCCACGGCCAACACCAAGCCCTAGGTACCGTTAGTCTGCGTGCCTGGGATGAGATACAGCCTCAGTCCCTACCACTGGCACCAGGAAAATATCCCACCCCTGCGGGGAGTGACGACAGGCCTTTCTCCAGCGGCTGACCCACCTCTTTTGAGTCTTCTCCGCCATGGTACAGCTCTGGGCTCCAATTGGAGCGGAGATCAACACCTCTGCCTGGATGGGGCGATGATCTCCACGCGCGATTGCAGAGCCTGGCGGGGCTGCGAAGGGGTGGAGCCGGGGCGGGGCCGAGGCGTCCTTGCTGCAGGCTGCGGGGAGACCTCTGCGGCCACCCGGCTTTAGCGCTGTCCAAGGGCTGAGAGGCTCGAATTTAAAACACACTTAAGCCGGCCCAGTGCACATCGCTATTACCTCATTTTACTTCCTACCGCTGCGTACTCGAGGTCGCATCCTGCTTCTGTCCTTCCGCTGGGTGTAGTTTTTCGGCCTTCCTCTAGGTGGGAGGATTCCTCCCGCCAGGTCCTGGCCTCGCTCCTTCTGAGCAACCTCTTTTTCCCCTTCCCTGCTGGCGTTCTCAAATCATTGCTATTCCGTGCTCTGCTGAGCTTCACTCCTAATGTTCCATCGATTACTTAGCATTTGCATGTGGATTGTCCATTGATACTGAACCTCCCTCCTACCAGTTGCTCTTTCATCTCCATCACAGTAACCGAGTTGACCTTCACCCAGTTGCTCAAGCCAGACTCGGGCGTCATCTTGGCACACTCGCCCCGCGTGGGTAATTCACACGCAAGTTCTGGGCCTCGTCCTTCCACTTTCTGCCATGTACCACACCGTCTCTAGTCTAACCTCAGACACCGCATCTCTCGTCCGCTCCTTCCGTGGTCCACCCCTAAAATTGCACCCAAAAATGTTCCCCAAAGCTGGGTATGCTGGTCGACACCTGTCATCCCAGCACTCTGGTAAGCTGAAGTAGGATTGAAAGTTCACTCAGCCTAGGCAACTTAGTGACTTTTGAGAGGCTGTCTCAAAAAATGGGGAAGGAGGGGCCGGGGAGATAGCTCAGCAGAATGAGCACTCGTCTGGCAAGCACCAAGGGCCTGAGTTCAATCCCTGGTTCCAGAAAAAAAAAAAAAAAAAAGGGGGGGGGGGGGGGGAGGAATAGAGTTCAAAAGCCCTGGATTCAATTCCTAGTACCGCAGAAAAGTCCCCTAAAAGTTTAGAGGCAGGGCTTTTGGAAGGTGCTGGTCATGAGATGAATTCATAGCTGTATGTACTGTTAGAAGGTGGAGCCTGGTTAGAAGAGGTGGGTCACTGGAGCTGTGCCTTAGAAGGGTATACGTGTTCTTGTCCCCAGCCCTTTTCAGTTGATCTTTCTTCTTCTTTCTCTTTGCTTCCCAGCTGCCACAGGATGAAAGCTTTCCTCTCCTGTGCCAGTCCTCCATGCTGTTTCTTCTTTGAGTGAGCTGACCATGGACAGAAACCTCAAAAACAAGGGGCCAAAATAAACACTTTCTCCTTTGAGCATGTCAGGTACCTTGTTCCAGCAGTGGGAAAGCTGACTGCTGCAATCCTTTTTCCCCCACCTATCGCTCTCATTCAAGTCATTCTCTTATAGTTAAATCATCCTGTATTTTAACTTTTGAGACAAGGTGTCACTATCTAGTTCAGGCTGGCCTTGAACTCACTGTGTAGGCCAGGCTCACCTCAAACTCTGAGTGATCCTCCTACCTCTGCCTCCCGAGTCCTGGAATTACAGCCTGGCTAAAAAACATCTTCTAAAAATAATATCTAGACCTGGATGTTTTAGTGCATGCCTGTAATCCCAGCTACTTGAGAAGTTGTGGCTAGAGGTTTACAACTCAAGGCAACCTGTGCAATTGAATAAGAACTTATCTTAAGGGCTGGTGGGATGGCTCAGTGGTCTAAGGCACCTACTTGGAAGGGGCTTGGCAGAGCACTGGGACCGTGGTTCAATCCCCCAGCGCCACATGCCAGCCAACCCCGCCCCCTGGTGGGCTGAGCTGGCCACACACACACACACACACACACACACACAAATAAAATAAAAATAAAAATAAAAATAAAAAATTCATTAAAAAAAAGAACTTATCTCAATAAGGAAGGAAAAGGGGGTTGAAGGAAGAGGAGGAGAGTGTAAAAAAGAATCAAAGTATATCATGTACAGATACAAATTCTCTATGATGAATGTAATCATGTGTACTGAAAATATGTCAATAAAGTTAATTTTAAAAAGTTAGTTATAGATATTCATGATATCTACAGAGGAAACTGCTTGGGCCTGAGTCACAGCAAGCCCTTACGAGCACCCGCTCAGTGACATAACTTCCCACCACTAGGCACCATGTCCTAAAGTTCCACCACCTCCCAAAGGTGCTACAGGCTAGAGACCAAGCCCTCAGGAGACAGCCTTCCAAAACACAGCAAAGCATAGCTCACTAACGCTCATGAGTTTAATTATTATTATTATTTTTTACCTTTGACTATGATGTAATCAGGGCATGTAAAGCAAACAATTTAATACAGGACACATATAGATTATTTTATAGTAGTCACTCAGAGTCACATGAAGAAGAGTGCAGAAAATCTGTCCAATTGAAGATATAAAGCCTGGCTGTGGTCGCATGTGCCTGTAATCCCAGCTCTTGGGAGGCTGTAAACAGGTGGATCACTACGAGTCCGATTAAGTAGTGAGATCTTGAACACCCTATAGACCCTTCCCTAAAATACAAAAGAAAAAAAAGATTCTTTTTAAATGTCTCTTTTTTCAAAATATTTTTAACTTTAACAAATATTTACAAGGTGTTATGCAGTCCTATTTTGTGTTCTTGGTACAGAAATAAAACCATATATCTCCTTTGTAGCACTTACATTTCACCTTAAAAGTGGACAATAAAAAAAAGTGGACAATAAACTAGCTGAGCAATAGAAATATTATATAACATATATTATAATATGTTCAAAATAATATGAAGAGAAGAGTGGCAGTTAGAACAGGAATTTTATTTTTGCCTTTAGAACCTGCCTCGCTTCTTTTTATTCATGTTCTTTTTCTTTTCCAAATCAAATTGGTAGGACAGTTTCAATAATTAATACATTGCATACATTCTTCCTAGTGGTTAATTGTTGTACAAGATGCAGACATGATATCCTATTTACAAACACCATTAGAAAAAATCACTCTATTCATCAAGAGAATGTAACTATATATCTATACTAACCATTTTGAATACACAGATACAAAATGGACATTCATCTGTATCCCCTTTTTTTGTTAAGTGCTGTTATTTGAATATTATAGATGTTTATTTTTTTTCAAAGTTTTATTGATAAAGATAGCAATGAGACAGTTTCAAATCAAATCGGAAGTACAGTTTCAACAAATAATACACTGCATATATTCTTC